GTTAGGAGGATTGCAAATTCCAGGCCAGCCAGGGCTACACAGAAGGACACCCACTGACCTCTAAACACACAGTACTTTTCAGGCATAAAGTGAACTTTTTTTTTTTTTTAAAGTAACAGCACACTTTTCAAGTGCACGGTATTAAAAATTCAGGACAAACACGGATGTAATTGTCAACAGCCAGGGGAATTCCAGAGCTGGGCCTTAGCAAAGCAAACAGGAAGCTTGAGAGGGAGTTCTCAGCCCCACCTTGTGGACGTTGAGTAGAGAGTCACTGTGTTTCCTGGAACACTTGGCTCTTACAGAGCCCTTCATGAGCTGCCAGCCACCCAAATAATCCCTGCCATACTTAAAATGCTTTTCATTCTGTTTAAGGTCAGAGGTTAGAGGCACAGACGTGAACTGTTGAGCTACAGTAAGGTGATTAGGCAAATGTCTCTTTCCATGGGATTTCTGCATCATAATGCGTCAGTAATGGAGTAATTTGGAGTAAACACAGTAAACCACCTTGTGAGCTCGCCTTCATGAGCTCTGTGCAACTATAAAAACGTATTTCTTCATTCACTCTGCAAACACACTCTTTAAAGTGTGTTTATGGGACAATGGGGGAAATCAGTTGATTGAGATGTGATATAGTAAGGAATTCAGATTTAATTTGGTTTGTTGCAGAGTTCTGTGATTAAAAAGGAGTAACCATTGGCATATGCTATAACAGTCACCACTCCCAAAATTACTGCACTGAGTGAAGGAAAACACACACTGTAGGAGTCCTTTTACATGAACTACAGGAAAACCCCGACAGACACGTGATGACAGTAGATCAGTGACTACAAGGAGAAGGGACAGAGAAGGGACTTTTAAAAGGATGGGCTGTGCTCACTGTTGAGTGTGGGCTAGTGTGCTTGTTCCCACTCTCTTCCTTTCCCATCTCCCCCTCCACCATCACGTTTTAGGATTCTCTGTGGACAGCTATGTACGTCTGTGAAAAAAGTGTATTGGGAGCTTCCCACCTTTGCTTTTTTTGTGTGAGAGTGGCCCTTTGGAATGTGTTTGCACATCCTCCCCTAGGACTTGAATGTGCTGGAGGGTAATACTATGGTGGCTGTTCTTCCCCAGCCCCCGAGTCACCCAGTGTGGGGATGTGGGCCATGTGTAATCCCTCCCAAGCACCGCAAGTTATTGGTAGGCATGGGGAGGGTCTTCAGGGACAGCATAGTAGAACCTAGGGATGCCTGGAGTATGTATGCCAGGTATCTGGCTGGCTGGCCGCCCTAACAGCAGAGGCAGTTGCTCCTATAAGTGTGGTTCCTGTGAAACCTTGGGAGATGGCCCCAGTCCTACAGGTCTACTGCACCAGGGGATACAACTGCTGTCCTCTTCTCCTTATGATGGTGTTTGCCAAGAACCTCGAAACCTGTGTCACTGCCTTCATTGGTATGACTAGGCCAGAAACTAGTAATTTGTTTTACTGAAAATGCTGGGAAATTGACCATGATTTGGAGTATTGTAGGTGGGTGAACTAGAATGAACAGCTTGTGAAGGCAAATTAAATGGTTAGCTTTTTTTGCTTTGGTTCTTAAGGTTCTTTTTACAGAATTATGCTTTATTGACCCAAACAGGAACAGAGGGGAGGGAACTAAGATGAATGTGGTGAGCCAAGCATAGGCAGAGGGTCTGGCCCTTCTCTTGGTTTTCTGATACCTTTTAAATCTAAATCTTGAGTAAGGAGACTCTTATTATAGGCCTAGAGGTTAAATTTAGAGAAATAAAGCTCAATTGATCTGGGTGTGGTGATACATTTAAATCCCAGCATTTGAGAGGCAGAGGCAGGAGGATGTCTTGAGTTTGAGGCTCTGTTTAATCTCTTCCCTGATCTACATAGGGAGTTCCAGGATAGCCAGGACTACACAGTGAGTCCTGTCTCAAATAATACAGAAAAAGATACAGGTGATGGTGTGGACCCACCGTGTTAGAGGCTAACACTGCAAGTGTTCACAGAAGCTTAAACACTTGTCATGACATCTAAGAGTGAGCTCTTGAAAAGCCATCATAAGGACCAGGGAGAAAGATGGCTTAGTGGGTCATGGTACTTGCCATACAGGCCCAGTGACCTGGGTTCAGTCCCCAGGACCCATACAGAGTGGAAGCAGAGAACAGACTCCACAGTTGTCCTCTGGCACAGGCCTCTCCCAATAATAGTAATAATTATTATTCTTACTGTTGCTGCTACTGGGGAAAAAAAAATCTCTGGTCTGGAATTGTAGCTGGTAAGTCAAGTGGCCTCCACTGACTCAGACCAGAGTGCTTGCTGTGCAGAGGAGCACCTTAGGTTTGGAGGTTTGTTTTATGTGTGTGGGAGTTTTTGTCTGCATGTGTAACTTGCACCTTGCATGTGTACAAGTTCCTGAAGAGGCCAGAAGAGGGTGTTGGAGCCCCTCAAACTTTAATTGCAGACAGGTATGAGCTGTCTTGTGGGTGCTGGGAATAGAACCCAGGTCCTCTGCAAGAGCAGTGAGTGTTTTTATCTGCTGAGCCATCTCTCCAGCCCCATTATCTAAGTTTGGATTCTTAGCACCCACATAAAAAGCCATGCATATCTGTAAACCCAGGGGGAAGAATAGAGAAGACCCTTGAAGCTGATCAGCCAACTTAGCCAGTCAGTGAGCTCCAGGTCCAGTGAAAGACCTTGTTTCAAAAACAAAGTTAGGCTGGACTTGGTGCATGCCTTTAATCCTGACACTCAGGAGGCCAGTGGATATCTGAGCTTGAGTTCAGCCTGGTCTACATAGTGAGTTTCAGGACAGTCTGGCTATACTATGTAAAGAGATCCTGTCTCAAAACAAACAAACAAAAACCATCTAAGCTATAGAGTGAGTTAATGGGTGGTGTCTATAAATTCTGTTTATGTACATATGAAATTGTCAAAAAAAAAAAGTCTAAAAGAAAGCCCACCACAACCATGTTTATGTAAACACCTCTAAATTCAGTGGGTCATTAAAAATGTAAGAGCTAGAAGGGCTTTATGGGGGATAATGGGTTCAGTGGTGGTGGGGGAGTGCTAATGGGAGTGAATGTGATCAAAATATAGGGCATACACACAAAAAGTTCTCAAAGAATAAATTTTAAAAACATTTTTTAAAAACTTAAAAAAAAAAAGTGGGGAAGACAATGTCAGCCTCTGACCTTCATATGAGCACAGGCTGATGGAACACACAGAGTGAGCAAGTGAGCATTCGTACACTATGAGCTCTGTGAACAGCAAGAAGGTTCAGAATCACTGTTGTCACACTGTTACTGGGAATAAAACCTATCCAATTCAGAGAAGGCACATGCCATCACTGAAAGGGGGAATCACATGTTTCCAAAGAAAAGTATGCATCTACTTTTAGGCTTCTGCAGCAATAAAAATCAAGACCTTGAGCCAGTTTCTGCCATGTACATGTGTCCTCTCCACTTGTGTATGTTTATACACATCCTGACAGACAAGCTGCCATGCCAGACTTTAGGACTCACTGGTGTGGCAGCAACATTGGAGTTGTGTGGACTTGGAGTGTCGTGTCCTGAGGTTCAGTTCCTGCAGTCTGGTTTGCTGCAGACTTTGGAGTGGTGTGCTGTCACAAGGAAAGCCCACTGTGAGCAGGCTGCTGGCAGGATGGTGACCCAGCCACACTGGTAACCCTATTAGTGTCACATCTGATGAGTAGTGAAACAGCATCAGGGAGGGGCAGTCCTGACACGGGGTGGGTCTCAGCTTGGCTGCTTACTGGGAAACCGTCTAGCACTCCAACTAGGAGTGGTGACATCAGGAGGCTGAGGCGGGAGCAGTGAGTTCTAGACAAGCCTTGACTACGTAGATGAGATTCTGTCACAAAACTAAAATGTAGCTGTCAAAAACTAGGAAGGAAGCCCCAGCCTTGTTGAGTTTGGACGGGGTGTCAGTCACAATGCATCGAACAGACCACTACTAATGCTTGCCCCTCCCTGGCAGGCCAACTGAATGACAGATTCATTCCAGTGTTGAGGTTGGTTGGATACAACCCAAGTAGTGACATCAGAGTATAATCAACTTGTTAACAAGAGCTAGAAAGTTTTATTAAAATCAAGAGCACTGTGGTCAAATCCCACATAGTGTTACCTAAATGATGAGGGTAATTTTACATTTGTCTTATAAGTTATTTTTGACTTAAACATACACATTAATGGTGTTTGTACAATGTTCCATGTTTATATGTGTAATGTTTCAGTCACAAAATATTTCTTCAGACATCTATTTTTTCAACTAGTTATGGCAGTGAATGCCTCTAATCTCAAAATCTGGGAGAGAGAGGCAGGATGATCGAGAGTTGAAGACCCACCTGGGCCACACAAGACCCTGTCTTAAAAAAAAAAAAAAAAAAAAGTATTTAAGTTTTGTTTTGAAAAGGTCTTGCAGTGTAGCTCAGACTGGCTTCAAACCCAAAGCCCTTGCCAGCCTCCTCAGTGCTGGGGTTGCAGGTATGCGTCACCAGCTAGCTTAGCTTATTACTTAGTGCTTTGTGCTAAAAATACCCAGATGTTCCTTCAGATGAAGCTCTAGTTGTGTGGCTGCATATACCACAGCATCACGGGAGTTAGTTCCCTTTCCACTGTGGACACCGTGCATGGGTTTGGGACATGCATGGCAAGCTTTTTTACTGGTTAAGTCATCTTGACTATTCATCTTCTAGATTTTTTTTTTTTTTTTTTTTTTTTGGTTTTTTTAGACAGGGTTTTTCTGTGGCTTTGGGGGGTGTCCTGGAACTAGCTTTTGTAGATCAGGCTGGGCTCGAAATCACAGAGATCCCCCTGCCTCTGCCTTCCGAGTGCTGGGATTAAAGGCTGCGCCACCACCGCCTGGCTCATCTTCTAGATTTAATGTTTCATTGTTTCAAAGAGAGAAATTAAAAGTATGAGAATTGGATTTTCAGACTATTTTGGAATAATAAGACCATTTTCTGAACATATCATTTCTCATATTTTAGAAAAGGCGGCGACGGATTGACCGAAGTATGATTGGAGAGCCGACCAACTTTGTGCACACAGCTCATGTAGGATCCGGAGATCTGTTCAGTGGGATGAACTCAGTAAGTGTGTTCTTGACAGACTCAAACCTTTAAAATGATTTGTTTATACTTGTTATGTGTATCCCTTTTAATAACGCCATGTCAAGTGAGTTCTGAAAGAGATTGTGCCAGTCACAGGTTGGGGGGGGGCACAAAACACACTGTCTGCACAGACCTTCCCTGTTGTCACTCCCTAAGCAATATCATGTAGCAGTTATTTGTACATATTGACACTGTGTTAAATATGCTACTATATACAATACAGATGACTTAATGTTTATGGGAAATGTGATGGGTTATATGGAAGTCAGACTTCTTCATGCAGGAACCCTCAGTGTGAACATAAATCTTGGATTCCGATTTGATATGGGTTAGTTAACAATTGATTCTTATGTTCCCATCATGGGACTTGCAGGTGAGCTTTGAAATGAGAATTTAAGCCAGGCACAGTGTTTAATCCCACTGCTCAGGAGGACCACCTCTGAGTTCGAGGCCAGCCTGGTCTACATAGTGAATTCCAGGACAGCCAGGGCTGCATAGACATACTGTCTATGTCTATGCCCAATAAATAGATATTAATTAATATTTACCCTCTTGTAGTGAACTTTTTTTCATATACTCTTCTTAAGATTTAGTTACCATGTATATTTATGTGCATGTGTCACGCATGTGCAGAGGCCAGAAGGAGGGAGTGTGATACCCTCGCATTGGAGTTACAGGAGGTTGTGAGCCTCCTGGTGTGGTTGGGTGCTAGGAACAGAACTCGGGACCTCTGGGAGAATGATGTCACTCTTAACCACTGAGCCGTCGTCTCTCTAGCCCCACATCTATGTTTGCTGAGTCTGCTTCATAGAATGTCAGTGTTTCCCTGAAGGAAGATGTTACAATGCTGGTGATGTTGGCTATTGTGTTTAACCCTTTCCTGCTAAGCAGATAGTTGTGATTTGCACATATCCCTTTTGGGCAGGGCAGCAGACATTTGCCATATTGAGCAGTTGGTTATAAAGTATCTGAAATGAGGAAGGGGAATCTGCTGATTTTATATAGAGATTTAATACATGCCAGAGTAGACTTTAGGGTCATTTGTTCGTTCACCTGGACTCTTCTGTAGTGTTCATGTAAGGATACCAAAGGAGGGCACTTCCAGAGCCATTCTCCTTTTGCTCCTGAGGAAACATGATGCCTAGTGACCCCAGGTGTCACTGCACTGACACTGTTATAGAAACAAAATTAGACAATTGTTGTCTTAGTTAGGGTTTCTGTTGCTGTGAAGAGACACCATGACTACAGCAAAGGAAAACATTTAATCAGAGTGGCTTCCATCATGGCAGGAAGCATGGTGGCATGCAGGCAGACATGGTGCTGGAGAGGGAGATGAGAATTGTGCATCTGGATCTGCAGGCAGCAGAAGGAACACTGGCCAGGCTTGAGCGTCTGAGATCTCAAAGCCCACCCCTAGTGACACACTTCCTAATAGTACTCTCCCTATGAGCTTTTGGGGGACATTTTCTTTCAATCTCCCCAGCCAGGACCAACAGAGCTGGGTTAGACTGGGTAATGAGTGTCTGGGGCACACAAACCCACTTGTGACCATGGGGACTAGAAAACAAGGAAGCCATTTGTCACTCCTGTTTTCAGTCTGTGGAGGGACTTGTTTCACTGGCTGTATTGTTGAGTGTCAGTGTCCAGAGAGGAACAGCTGTCCTGTTTGCTAGATGGCAGGGTAAAAACAGCAGGGGGCTCTGAACCCTCTCTTGTTAGTGTGCTTATTCAATCTGGTTATAGAACAGGTGTTGCACATTTATCACATTGTCAATAAATATCTTCACTTCAGATTTGATCTTTTTGAGACATGTTCTAAAGATGGGGCCCGAGCTGGTCTTGAACTTGGGCTCCTGCCTCAGGCTGGTGGATACTGGCATATTACTTAGCTACCTCTTGTGGTGTTTGGTAATGCTTGTAACTTCTGTTTGTGCACATGAGAATTTTCTTTAAATCAGTGCTTAGCATCTTACTGTTAGTAAGCACACTTTATGAGGTCTGTTGCTTGACTAGCTGGGGTGAAGCCTCTTGGGCTGACAGCATCCGGTGGTGGCAGGTTCTGCCCTCCAAGCCACTGTAGTCTTCTCTGGGACTGATAATACTTCTGTAGGGACAATATGTCCCTTTTTGGTAGTGATTTTATTGGACGAGCATGCTGCTCCCCCATAGAATGCTGAGTTCTTGCTGACAGTTCCCACTTACATAAACCTGCCTGTGAGAGAAATTGTGTTTTTCTGTGTCCAAATACTGACAATAAAACAAAACCATGAATAGAAATGCTATTTATCCAGAGAGACATTACTACCCCATCTGTGTTCTGAGACTGGAGCAGTTGTTGTTAGGAACAGGCCCCTGTATAAGGTACCTGCCTGGCCTGCACTGCAGCACTGATGGTCCCACTAAATACTAAGCTTTTCCAAGGCTGCTTTGTTGACTTACATATGTACACACACATACATACAACCACCATGTGGGTGCTGGTAATTGAACCCTGATCCTCTGGAAGAGCAGCCAGTGCTTTTAACCACTGAACTGTCTCTCCAGCTCTGACTTACTTTTGATGTGTTGGTGCTGTGTTTACAGGTATGGACTGCCACACCTGCAAGCTTACTTTTTAATTTCAACTTCTTGCCAGAAGGAGCTCTGTGACCCTTTAGTAGTAGTTTTAAAACACTATACACGTGCGGTCAGCACTAATAGGTCGCTTATTAGAAAATCCTGACCTGCCGGGCGTTGGTGGTGCACGCCTTTAATCCCAGCACTCTCGGGAGGCAGAGGCAGATGGATCTCTGTGATTTCGAGGCCAGCCTGGTGTCCAGAGTGAGTTCCAGGACAGCCTCCAAAGCCACAGAGAAACCCTGTCCCGAAACACACACACAAAAAAAAAAAAAAAAAAAAAAAAAAAAAAAAAAAAAGGAAAAAGAAATCCTGACCCTTCAGTTTGACACTGCAGAATCATTTGTTTTGCTTGAGGAAACACAGCTTTTTCTTCTTAGACTTGTGTGGCTTTATGAGCTCACAAGTGTTGAGTGGGTTGGCCTGGAGCACCTAGAGACTGTGTATGTGTCCACTGCAGACTGTGACCAGGGCTGAGGTCACAAAGTCATGCCAAATAGCTTAAAGACTGGTTGTGTGTCCCTCCCTAAAGCATCCATCAATTGTGAATATGGTGTTCAGTGGTGGTGTGTGCAATGCCGTTGGGATGAGATGTTTCACAGAAGTCAGTGTCCCAGAGTAATGGGAGTGGGCCCTAGAAATATTTAACCCTCTTTCTCCAGAAGTAACCTAAGCAAGCCTCATCACTTTCTTTAAACAAAATATTGACTTAGGATCACCAGTGACAAGGGCCTATGCTTCCTTTATGTACCAGTAACACTCAGTAAATAGATTTATGAACATGATCCAGGCATCCCCTGCCCTTCCCCCAAGTCTCAGCTCTGGGAGGTGACCCTTCAAGAGCTGAGTCATTACCGGGCATTACCTCCAAGCTTCCTGTTTGGGTTCCTCCTTCCAGCAGTGTAGCCTGACTCATCCTCTGCTTCAAAAATGTTTCTAATTCACAGGAGTTCTGTTGAAAAGCCGACCGCAAACTGAAGGATGGTGTGTGCATTTGCTCCAACACTGGGAGTCCATTGGAGCGTGACTCTGCTCTTCTTGAAGTGCAGGGTCTGACACGATTAAAAAGTAAACATGGCCTACAGTGTGTCTTTGGAAACTTAGCCATCTTCACTTCATCAATCTATTAGGATTGTGTGTCAGTCAGAATGAGGTGGCATATTTGGGAGGCTGAGGCAGCATGACCCCAAATTCAAGGCCAGCTTAGGCTACATGAGGCCTTGCTTGAGGGAAAACAACAGAGACAGGGGGAAAAAAGCAACAGCAAATTGCTCAATAGTGGCCTCACTGTTTGCATTACACTCAGGAAAAGTTAAGGTGTTTAAGAATGCATGTGTGGACTGGAGAGATGGCCCAGAGGTTAAGAGCACTGTCTGTTCTTCCAGAGGTCCTGAGTTCAATTCCTAACAACCACATGGTGGCTCACAATCATCTGTAGTGAGATCTGGTGCCCTCTTCTGACCTGCAGGTATACATGCAGGCAGAACACTGTACACAATAATAAATAAATCCTTAAAAAAAAAAAATGAGTTTGAGTCTGGCAGTGGTGGTACATGCCTTTAATCCGAGCACTCAGGAGGCAGAGGCAGATGGCTTTCTGTGAGTTCCAGGCTAGACTGTTCTACAAGAGCTAGTTCTGAGACAGCCTCCAAAGCCACAGAGAAACCCTGTCTCGAAAAACTGAAAATAAATAAATGAAAATGAGTTTGTGCTTTCCCTGCACACATGTCCTGAAGTCGGCAGGGAGATCACTCTGCTGCACCGCCTGATCCTACTGAGCTTCTGTCTGTCCCTGTCTGTTTTAGGTCAGCTCCATTCAGAACCAAATGCAGTCCA